TGTTCAAGAAAAAATATTAATTTTTATTAAAATGTTCTTTTATTTTATGTTAATGATTACTCATTTACTTCAGCCCTTTGTATTCAGCATGTCTCTACCAAAATAAACCTACGTTTCTATGAAAATTGAAGCTTTTGTTTTTTTGTGGCCCACATAAACTTAAAACCTTGTTTATTTGGCCCGTATTAGCCTTTGAGTTTGACATGCTTGTTGTAAGGCTTTGTAGACCATTATAAGACCTTTGGGTTTTAAGTGCAATGGAAAGCTATTAGGAATGTAGAATACTGTGATCTCAATGTTTTCATTCTCATTCTGGCTACAGTGTGGACAATGGATTGTGTGGGCAAGAGTGGAAACAGGCAGACTCATTGCCATCTCCAGCACTTAGGCACTACCCTTAGTCTTGTGTCCCCAAGTTATGACTTCACATGAAGATTATTCTGTTTTTTAAGATAAATGACTAGATTGGGTGTAGACATATTCTACAAAAAGCTCTCTTTGAGAGAAGAGACAACCTTCTCTTTGGGATTCTTAATAATGAACATGAGTGAACATACTGCAGATTAATCTGGGCACAGCAGAGAATAAGCCCTCGCTTGCTCTGAAGTGCTCCCCTCTGTGCAGAGACAAAGTGGACCTCAGCCAGACTCACAGTGTGAACTGAATCCCACTGTTAGCAGCTTGCGGCACAAGCACCACTAAGTCCGCTTGAGTTGGCAGCATTAAAAGAAACTCAGTCCTTGTTATAATTATGAAAGCCAAATGCCCCATCCTGTTTCTTCCAACTTCCACTTCAAAATAAAGTGAATATCCTTATTCTATTGAGCGCCACAAATAGAACTCAAAGATGTAATAAAATACACCCTCCAAAGAGAATTAATATGGAAGCTTTGGGGTTAGTGCGCTGCCAATAATGTCTGAAATGTAAGTGGCAGGAAAGCACCTTTCCTAACTCAGAAAAATAAAACTTTATTCTATTCTTCTGAATTTTATTCGTCTCTTTAAAAAGATTCAGTTTTTCAATGTCCTCTAGAAGACACAGTACTTTTTGTCACCATAAATTATTTTGCATAACGTTATTTCCTGTTTATCAGTTCCTTCAGAACCTGGTTGCATAGTCACAATGACAAGCTAATAATGTACTGGTTGAATAGACTTCCATGGCAGACTGCTTGGTTTTAAATCTCAACTCTGTCCCTTTCTTACGTGTGCAACCTTAGGCAAGTTACTTAACCTCTCTCAGTTCAAGTTTCTGCCTCTAAAAAGTGGATATAATGTAGGACTATATCATAGGCTTGTAATAAGGACTAAAGAAGTTAATATCTGGCTGGGCTGGCGTAGTTCAGAGGTTGAGCATTGACCTATGAACCAGGAGGTCATTGTTCCATTCCTGGTCAGGGCATATGCTTGGGTTGTGGGCTTGATTCCCAGTGTGGGCATGAAGGAGGCAGCTGATCAATGATTCACTCTCATCATTGATGTTTCTCTCTCTCTCTCTGAAATCAACAAAAATATACTTTT